AGAATTAATTGATGCCCTCTCAAGAAGTACACCAAATATTGCTGTAGACAGTGAAGCATCACGGATTGAAATAAATAGACTTCGTAGTGAACTAGCATCTAAAAGAGCGGAAATCGATCGATTGATTGACCTACTTGGCCGTTACAATTCTACACCTTCATACAACCCAATCATGTATCCCCCTCAAATGCCTATGTATATCCCTACTCCAGTTGTGCAGCCTTCAGTAGTGTCACCAGCTTCTGCTCCAACTGTTATACAACAGCCTCCTCCAACCATTATTCGTGATAATCCAACTTGTCACACTTGTTGTCATAATCACTACAACCATCACGATAATAATAACAACAGTAATACAGCTATGCAAATGGAATTCGTGAAAGAAAGGGCAGAATTATCTCACTTAACTCAAAGTGTACAGAATTTGTTGCAAAATATACAAAAACAAACGAAAGATGTAGAATCATTAACTCGCCCAATCATTGTACCACAGTATGTTGCTCCTCAGCCTACACCACCACCACCTCCTCAATCAATTCCAATTATCATTTCTGGTCAAGGTACGGTAAATGGACAACCGTCGGTAACGCAAGTACCTCTTCAATCAGGTGGAACCACATTTATAAATGCCGGAAATCCGATCTCTTCTACCCAAAATAATCCCATGGGAGCGGCTTCGCAACCTGTAGTCACGCAATTGCCTACAGGAGAATCGATCACTGTTCTACCCCCTATGGTATGTATAACCTCTGTGTTGGTCCTTACTGTATTTGTAGTAGCTCGATATACTCGTAAATGTTTTATTTTAAGTTACAGAATTATCCTGCCTTCTTTATATCCAATACAAACACTGCCTATATATGTATATTATGCACTCACATGCTTTACTGTCCTAACATTTTAGCAATCAGCACCTAATCAGCAACAGCAACAACAGCAGCAACCCCAACCTTCGGCAATTCTAATTCAAAACCCAACTCCTGCCCCTCCAGCGCAACCTTCTAATACAGTATATGTGCCTTACATTAAGCAAGAGGAGCCTAAGCGTAAAAAAAAGAAGAAGAAGAAGCCACCTCCACCAACACCTCCTCCTCCCCCACCACCGCCCAAATCTCCATCCCCGCCTCCGCCTCAACCAATAGAACACCATAATACTGTCCTAGTTGTTCCAGGAGGCAGCTCAACTACAATTGGTGATGAAAACGTAGCTATTCCAAGTGTAACTACAAGACAAATTGGGGAAGTTACTATTAGAGAGTATGGTAAACCAAACAGAGGTGATAGGACTTTTGGTGGTACAGAGGGAGGTGCAGGAGGCATATATGTTAGCGTTCAACCTCCACCACCCCAACCACCACCGCCCGCACCGGTACAACAACCACCACCCAATCGTCGTTCGGATGATAGCGATGAAGATGATAGGAGGCGCAGACGAAGAAGAGGAAGACGTTCTAGATCACGTACTCCTCCCCCTAGTTTCCCTGCTGGTTTGTTTTGCAATATACCAGAACATCAGCATCTTGAATCTGAAGTTACAAGACTGCAAGGTATCGTAGATGCATCCAAAGAAGTAATGGAAAACTTGAATAGTCGACAAAGGGAAATAGAGCGCCTGTCGGAAGCGATTGGACAATTAAAAACTGAACAGAAACATCGCTTAAAATTACTTAAGCAACTAGACGATGATATAAGTGAAAAGAAGAGAAAAAATAAGGACATTAAAAGAACGAGCGAAGATGCCCAAAATGAACTTTCTAAAATCGTTGAGGAAATAAAAATACGCAATGGTGAGAAAAGCAATATTATGTTAGAAATAAAGGATTTGGAAGCGGAAGTACTAGATTCTGCTCGTAGTAGGGAACATCTGATTAGTGAAGCAGAGCAGCTTGTCCAGCAACGAAACGATGTTATAGCTGAAACTGACCATATTTCTAAGCAACTATCAAGTAGTCTGAAACCTCTTGAAATGGCGGTGAAGCAGCGTCGAATAGAATTATCGGATCTAGAAAAAGCAATCATTCAAAAGAAAGCTAATCTGGAGACATTAAAGCAAAGAGATGATGTTTTAACTGAAGAGAGGATAGAGGCGGTAAAAGAGCTAGAGGAATTGAGAAGTCAACTTGATGGATCAAAAAGGCTATTGCATGAGCAAACCGAAAAGAGTAACGTTTCGTTTCAGAAGAATATTGAAGAACTGCAAGCAATGGAAGAAGAAATATCTTCAATCGATCAGCAACGAAATGAAAGTCGTAGATATCGGGATAGTTTACTAGAGGAAACTGCCAATGCAGAGAAAGTTTTGGAAGAACGAAGAGCAGCATCAAGTCATGTAAAATTAGAACTAAATCAGCAAAAGCTGGAATTAAGGAATGTAAGCAACATGCTGACTAAGACCAAAGAGCAATATAGAATAACTAAGGAAAAGGTAAATTGCGTCTTTTAGAATTAACCTTTATTTTTAGTCTTATTCTTGTTTATCCAATATTTTATCCTAATTAGCTACGTGAAACATTGCTAAAATTTGAAGACGCTAAAGATATTTTGCATCAGACGGAACAAAATGCCGAGATAATTGAAAAACATGCATTAAATACATCGGAAAAATTATCAAAAGCAGAGAATGAGATCAAGGTATTATCGCAAATATCGAAAGATTATGAACGATCCCACCGAAGTAGGACAAATGAGTTAAATAGTCTCATTAAGGTTAGCAATATGTTGTTAAGATACTTCTTGAGATGCGATAGTTACATGTCGACAATTTGTCCATACTCTACTTAACATTTTAGGAGATAAATGATAAAAAGATAGAGCTTAGGCAAGCTGAACAACTTACTGAAGAAGCGGTAAGATCGAAAGCTATTACCGAGAAACAGCTTTCTAGGTTAACTCAGCAGATTGAAAGGAGTAACGACAAGCTTCAGAGAGCCAAAGACCATCTGCAAGAAATAATTTCTCGAACTGGACTTACTTTGAGGTAGAACTATAATTATTCATTTTTTAGGCTTCATAAGAACGGGAACCTTAATGTTTAAATCAAATTAATTTTTTTCTATCTTTTAATATTCTTGGATAGCTTAAACGAACTTCAACAAAAGTTATTAGAAACTGAAAAAGAACAATTAATGAGAAATGAAGAGATGTCATATTTCGTGTCAGAAAATGAAAAGCTTATTGAATCTAAAAAGAATGAATTAGCCCGACTCCGTGGTGAAATTGATTTTAGGCGAATTGAGTTAAAAGACTATGAAGAAAAGGTACAAAGCGTTAGAACGGAACTAAAAAATTTTGAAAAAAGCCGCCGTAAAGACGAAAAGCAAACAATAAATGTTACCTCTCCTTGGCTACAGAGCAAATAGAAAAATCTTATCCTTCTTCCTTATGAAGCATCAATTCGATGAAAGTTCTCTTTAGTAAGCCATGGTTTTTCTTCACTAACTTAGTATTATAAAACATACGATTACCAAATTTCCGTTATTATTAGTAATCAAGTCTCATATAGGCTTAAGAGTTAGGTGATCATAAATTGTAGCGTAGCTCTACTATTTTAGTTCTGAAATTTTACTGAAATATATATACATTATTTTTGAAAGTTGTCTAGATCAGTGTTTCTCGTTAATTTTATATATATATATATATATAAGGTAATTTAATGATGAAATTATTGCTATATAAAATCTAGCCCCATCAACGGTTTTGTACTATACATTGATTAAAAAACTACGACTCACTTTTTTGTTCGCTTACGTTAGTGTATTACCTAAGTATATCTACTTTATCGATTTATTTATGAGTTCACGTTGTTAAAGTTGCTGATATCCTCCATATTATATATACATGACAGGAAGTGTTAAACGACACTACGAACTTATACGTTAATAAATGTAGCGATTAGCACCTAATATGTGGATTTAAATAGTTGATCTTCGTTAGTAACCATAATCTATTTTATCTTTATTAGCCTTGAAGTGTACTAGTGTGTATAGAAATTATTAATTTTAAGTTTTTATTTTGACTGTCCTGTCGTTGTATTTATGTTAGAATCTATACGTGGTTCACATGAATGACCAATGTTGTTGATAATAGCTATGTGATATCAATTAACATGAATCGTTAAATTTAGCGATAGGAAATTATACCTGTATAGTAGTTACTCTAAAATCTACTTATCCTTAGGAGTGATATATTTATATAATTAAACGTGATCTTATTCCATTGTATTGCATATTAGCATTACATGAAAGAAAGATCTACCCAGACAGATTCTATTTCTGTGCATTAAGTTATTAATTTCTGTTTATCAACTTAGCACTATTAAAAAATTTACGTGATCATTATTACCATTATCTCTTAAGTATATTTGAATTAACCCTTACCGAATGTTTAAAAAATCATACGCATTATGAAGGATTTAATTATTAGATTAAATTGTCAATTTCATATTAATGACGTGCGCGTATCATTATTGATTAGTCACAAAAGTATTATTTACGCATAATATCTTAACTGTTCGTTAAGGCAAATATCAAACTCGAAAGATACAAACATTTAAATATATATACTATACAGCATACATTGCATATAACGTGTAACTGGTATAGCGCAAGTTCTTAAACTAAGAAAGCTTGATTCATAAACCATCGGAGGAAGGTTTATATTAATGCATCACAAGCAAGTATACAGTTTTCAGAATCATATAACATAAGCAGTAGTAACAGATACGGAAAAATTTTGTATTAATCTCTACATATGACTTATGCCACATATTATGCGATCCATGAAGTATATAACATATAGAAGAGATGGTTGCGTCTAAAAATTGTATTAATACAAATTCTTGATTAATACACATACGAGATTCCAAGACTATAAAATTACATTATGTCCTTGTTTCTGATTCATTGATAAGGATAATCGGTTTCATCAGCAACCGAAGGAATAATGATATCCGATGTAAAAGTGACGATACTAGCGTATGATCGCTTCATTTTAGGCAAACAAACAATTCTCCATTCGTCTGCTCTAGGGTTGTACTGAAGTATATTTTGATTATGACTTACAGGAATTAAGTATAATCGATCGTGAAAAGCTACTAATTGTGGATTATTCGGTATGAAAGGTAAAGGTGCACGACATTGCCATTGATCTTTAATGGGATCATAAGCTAGAACGCTATCAACAAAATCGCCTTTAAATGTAATCACGCCACTGATAACATAGATTAATCCATGCAAGTTTGCTGTTACATGGCGAGCTCTTGGTTGCGGCATATTTGCAACATATCTCCATTGTTCCGTCGTTGTATCGTAACATTCACATGATGATAAACATTCCGTACTGTTATATCCGCCAATGGCATAAATTTTACTGTCTATCACTTGAGCAGTAAATGCATAGCGCCTAGCTAACATAGGTGGTGCATATTCCCAGATATTGTATTTAGGGTTATATGATTCAACTGCACAATGAACAGCCTGAGAAAATGTATCATATCCACCTAAAGCGTATATTATACCATTTAGATTAACGCACGAGAACATAAAACGATGGCAAGTATTAAGTGAAGCAATTAATTTCCAACTGTTTTTACTAGGATTAAAACATTCCGAGCCTCCTTCCAACTTTGAATCACTACTTGCTCCAAAACAGTATACTTTACCATTTACGACAACTACAGCAGCATTTTCAGAACGTCGTTGACCCATTAACATCGACGGTAATTGCATCCATTTTTGTCGGTGTATATTATAACATTTACAAGATTTCGATGATCTCATACCACCGATAATGACAAGATATTCGGTATACATGCGTGGAAATTGATTGTGATAATAATAAGATAAGCTTGATTGAAAACTATCAACACTAACTAAGGGGAAAACAGATTGGGGTAATAGATCATCTTCATATACAGAAGATTGCATAAAGTCTTCATCAATATACTTCCACCGAATTAACATCATTAGATCATGCGTATGAGCAATTCGGTCAGTTTTATCAAACTTGATCCATCGACTTACGGCGGAATAAGCATCCCGTTCACTTGTCATATGCAAACAATCTTTGGATAATAATTTAACTAAATCTTGAAAGCTCATCTCTAAAAATTCTTCACTCTGGACGACATGTACAAATTTTCTACAGCTTATATTACTGGCTTTACTGACAATACCAGGACAATCATATATTTGGGCTAATTTTAAAATCCCTAAACAGTTGTAAGGTTGTAGAATTCGCGATAAGTACAAGCAGCAGGTTGCCTTAGCATCTAATAACTGAAAGCGATCAGCTGCTTCCAATGTCTTGGCTACATTATGAATAGAAATAACCAAATTACCAGTATAGCAGAAATTGACCAAGTTAGATAAGATTGAATAACTAATGCCCTCAATGTGGACAATTTTTTGTTGACTTTCGACCAAATTGGATAGGAACATAGCTCGAAAATAAGAACTTGCCGAAGCTAATACCAGGCGATGAGCGTGAATAGTAGAATTATCAGTTGCAATTTCTACATCACACAATTCTTTGGCATCTCTCAAACGGTTTAATGCTTCGTGACAATTCCGATAAAAATGACTGTAATGTATTTGAACTTCTTCTTCTAAGTCATCATCGCTCTCAACAGGAGTGCAGGATCCTAAGATTGGATCTTTGAGTAATTATTGCATTGAATAGGGAGGAAATAGATAGGTTAAAAACGATAAGTTAACGATCCCTTGTAATCGTTTTCTGTTAAGTAAATATTTCATTTAAGTAAGCCAAGAAAAATAAAAACTTGCAATAGCGCATTGCTATAATAAAGTTGTCGTTATGATTTTTCTAAGCGAGAGAAACTATAATTATCTGGAATCGATACGTAACTTTGCGGTAATTATTATTGTATCACTTATATTGCTAAGATTTCTATGCTTAGTTATACTTTATTGAGCGTTTACAGATGGAAATATGGATCAAGCAAAAAAAGTTTTTATTTTAGATTGTACACTGGTAACAAAAGTATTTATTGAACTCTAACTACCCTTCTAGTGAACATTATTGTAGTATAACTGATCATTCACGTAGAAATCTATGTAGTACGGTACTTAAACATTATTATATAGGATAGTAATTAAAATATCTGTTCGGACCTTATTTAGCTAAACAGTATTTACTGTGATTACTAATCTAGTTACTTTGCAACGGAGAGGTGAACAATTTTATGCAAATAAGATATAGTTAGTAGTTCACCTGCATCTTATAGAAACTAAACCAGCTATGCAATTTATAAGGTAGAGAAACTGGATAGGATACTAGTTGAAACATTGTTGGCGTTTACGCCCATGTAATAGTGTCGAGTTTTCTTACCTTGGTATTGTGGTATAGTTGACGCCATTGCTTTGCAATCAACACGGTCTCTAAATTTTCTCTTGATGTTGACACGATAATGATGCTAACGGCAAGTTGAAATCATCAAGACTAAAAAATTAATGTTTTATTAAAGTTCTTAACGATGATCGTAAACAACATTTATTACTGTAGATTAATTTTAATCAGCCAACATTTTAGGTGACGATAATCTAGATAATTAATTCTCTTCGAAAATAAATGATCAACGTAGTACCTTATTGTAGTCTCATCAATCAACTGTAACATCATTACTCAGATCCTTTAAATTCAGCTATTAAAAATATATAACAAAATAAAACGAGGAATCCTACATTAGTATACCCTTAAATAAAAATGGATGTCTTTACACTCGAGCGCTTGCTATCTACTATAGTACCTTACTCTTTATTTTAATTTGCTTGCACATAATTCAAGCATGTTATAGAACAGGTAGAACTCTAATTTAAATCATGTTGGTTGTACCTTTCACTTTAAGTAGTCCGGCTGATAAATATATGCTTAAATATTACCAAATAGTGATGATTATTTGCTATTTAATAGACTGAGAACATGTGGGAAAGTCAAAATGATGGAGAATGGTTACAGAAATAAAGTTTACGCATATAGGACATATTCAAATGACAGATTCCTGTATCATTTTTTCTACATTTTCAAACAGATGATAACCAATGACGTAGTTATGATTAATTTCGACGTCACAACAGCGTAATAATGAATCCATTACTACACTGACTGATATAAATTTTCTTATGAACAAAAAAATACAATATTCTTGTGTACTTTTCATCATTGATGTTATTGTTAATAAAAGCACAAGCATTAATCCATCCTTTACTAGTGTTTAGCCAGCATTTATCCTACGAGATTACTATTAAATGATAGTCCATGGTACATATGCAAACAAAAATTGAATTTCTTTACATAATCATTTTAACATTGAAGTATTGTTAACGTAATTTATGCAAATTCCAGAACAAAAAATTATGCATAATGGATATAACCGCTCAAACGGCCAATATTGACTATTGTAGATGATCTTTGTCTTGCTAATAAGGCATAGCTATACGATATCGTGTTGGTTACCCATAAGTAGTCAAAGAGCCATTGCAAGGCTTGCGTTCTGCTACAATCATCTTTGTAAATACAATTATTTTCTATATAACACCCAGCTTAAAAGGTTGCAGGTTGTATAATCACCGCCCGAATCTATCCCAGCGAAAACCACATTATTATAGTTTTTAAATTGTTGCTGAACTATTTAAGGACTGCAATATTGTCTATCTCAACAAAGAGATTAGGATAGATACATCAAATACAACTGAAGAATTTAAATGTTGTAACACTTTCTCTTACTTCATTTCTGACTAGTTACTTTTCTGTGCATCTTTGCAATGAAGCATGGACCTAACAATTCTATTACTCCATATAATCACAATCATAAAGTAAATAAGATTAACATCGATCATATGCGTTTAATGAATTAGAATTATTTATTGTACTGTAAGTAGGCCCGGCCCATCCCTGCAATTGATAGAATTTATATATAACTTAATCTCCTGTTCTTTTCGCGAAACGTAATATCTTGTAGCTAAAATTTCATCAAAATGAATACTTGCGTGCTTATTGTCTATAATATAATCGATTTGGAAATAAAATATACTGGAAGAAAATGCGCATACAGTATTGCAGCTCTCATTATGCCTTTTAGTAGTACTATACTGTAGGCTGCAAGTCAAAAAGATGAAATAATCGCGGGAGGATATCGTGTTCACCGTTAGATTTATACTAACGATTAGCTCTTCAATGAATGCCATTTTAGGATCCTATTCTATAGTATAATTTTCGTAGTCATTATACTACAGAATATCGTGCAGGCATTCAAGAAGTAATCATTTGATTCACGAAACACTCTGTTAAGCTATCATGAGATAGTAAATCCTGGGGTCTTAGGTAACAACTACTGTAGTACTTCTTGTATAGACACCATATATAGAATAGTAAATACTATGGAGATGATTGTCATTTATAGTAAAATGCCTCGTTTGCGCATTTAACTTTAGGTCGAAACCAACATGTGCATTGTCCTGAATGAGTAGTAAGAGTCACAAGAGAGCTCGATCGGTTGTCATGGATACATTCAAAATTTCATAACGAGTCCATCCATCCTCATGAATACTATTAATTTCAAAGAATACACTATATAAGCACTAGAGATGCTGTAGAAATCATTACAACAGCGGATAAAAGTGATTTTGAGATTCAATCGATTGAAGTAATTACGACTGTCCGGAGTTAAAATCCATCAACGACTGATTATTTTATCGATGAGTTAATTAAACAGCTTATAACTATTGACATTATAACGCTACTGCCGATTTGGTAATTCGATCGGATAGTAATACATGATTACAAACTTTTTCTACTGGCCATCAAAACAAATCTTCTTGGGTTTATTGTAGATATACTAAAAATTGCTAATTAGTAGGCTTCAAAAATTGTCCATTTTATACGTATACTACGGCTACTTCACTCGCAGAACTTTATGGAAGAAATATTTTGTCAAAACATTTTAAAAGTGGACCATATCTAAACCAAGAGAAGAAATGGAAGACGAAAGACTCTCCGAATCTAGCTCCAATATACCGTTGCCGATCGCTACGCCGCCTTTGGAAGGACGTGATTTAAAATACATAGACCCGTTGACTTTAGTACACGATGATGATCGTGAGAGTGAAACTACTATACAAAGTACAAAAGCGATTCAAAATATTGGCCATCCGTCTAGAAATAGGTCATCTGGTAAGGCTGCTATAGCAAATACTTACCACCAAGAGAAATCGCTATCAAATTATGAATCCAGTCAATATGAAAGTTCTAGAGCGGAATCAGACGACACATTATCAAAGGAGGGAGAATCTAATCATGCAGATCGTGCCCCTTCGAGATCTCAATCCATAACGCCTACGTCTGAAGATCCGCAAATTGATTTTGATGCTTATGGTGAAAATACTTCTTTAATCAACGAACAAATATCAAAGTTTTGGATGAGCTTTGTTCCTGGAAGTACAAGACCTCGTCAAAAAACACAAAACTATTCATTCGAAATGATAGTTGCAGCTAAAGCAGAAGATCAGTAAGTTATCGTTGATTCTTATTACTAGATACTGAGTAATGCAGATATTTTAATAATGCAGTTGTATGACTCTTCCTATGAATGTTAGTCATTTTTAGCTATAAATTTTGTTGAATAGTTACGACAGAGCTCAAGTACTATTGGATGAAGGCATTCCTGGAGCGGCAATTGTTCTATTAAATAAATCTATTATGTTGCATCCCAGTTGTTGTAAATATTATCGACTCCGAGGAAGTGCTTACATGGAGATCTGTGATTTTAAGTCTGCTGTTGCAAATTACAAGAAAGTATGTGCGATGGAACCAGATGATAAAAATAGTTGGGATCGTTTAGCTCTGATGCACTACTTCCTTGGTCAGAGCCTCTTTGATTGTAAATTGCATGCTGAAGCTCTAGAAGCGTTCACACGGGCTGCTGAAATTTGTCCACAGATCGAAAGCTACCATACAAGAACGTGAGAGTCTTCTATGAATTTCTATAGCTAACATAATTATAATCCTAGTGGCTAACATTAATCCATAAATTTTAGATTAGCAACTCTAGCTGCGTTGAACCGACACAGTGAATGCTTGGCACTAATCAACAATAGGATGGAAGTGAACAACGATAACCCAGACTTATTCATCATGCGTGCTAGAATACACGATATGTTTCGAAATGTAATGAAATAAAATTAATCTTGGGTTTTACTTCAACAGATGTTATTGTATAGTTAAAGGCAGCATAACAATATCATTTCATCGAAGTTTAATCTAAAGCGTAGCTATATTATTTTTATTTTTTATTAACCGTAAAGTTAAACTTCTGTTGCAGACTTCGTTGTGTTATTACGACGTTGCAAGCGCGCTGGAACTTGATCCGGATCATGAAGAAGCAAACAAAATGATGCGAAATATTCAATTTAGAGCCAATGATTTGAAAAAAAGGGTGCGCTATTCAACATATATGTAACACTCTGGTATTACATTTAGTATTATAAAATATTAACGATCCTATAAAATAATAAATAGGCAGTCGAATTTAAGCTCGCTGGTAAAGATAAAGAATCATTAGATAAAATTAACAGTGCTATCGAAACATTTCCTGCATCCGCTGATTTTCATCTATTCTCGTGAGTTAATATTTAAACATACAATTTTATATAGCAAAACTTATGCCTTCCGCTATTATTTTAATATGCGGCTTGAATTGATGATATAGGCAGATAATTTCATTTGATGCTAACTTGTCACATTTATTTTCTTACAGTGGAGCCTTGCATCGGAATCGTAAAGATTTCAATTCTGCCATAGATGAATATATTTTAGCCATGGATAAAACTGATCATAACGAAGAAGATCCTATCTTTATTGCAGCTAACCGCGAGCTAATACTGACCTATAATGATTTTGCGGTCCAATGTTTTCATAAAGGTTTTTATAATGAAGCAATAATATTGCTCAATAAGGCTATAAAAGTAGAAAAGAATGAGAAAGGATTCTATATTAATCGTGGAGGTTGGTCAGTTTTTATGCTACTGTATAATATGCTGATAGCATTGACTACAGGATACAATCTTATTAAAACTCTGTGTTTATATTAATTCATTAATGATATTTAGTAAACATATTTTTCGGTATTCATATATAGATTGTTTTTACCGGACGGGCGAGCTTCATTTTGCTTTAGCTGATTTTAATCAAGCCATGGAATTAGACGAGAATGACTGGTCTGTACGGACAAGGATATCAGTTATTCACAACGAATTTGCAATTTTAGAATATTATGATCGCCAGTACGAAGCGGCTGTGAATCGCTTGACTGTAGCTATCAACAATAATCCTAAAATTGCTCAATACTACATATCACGATCGAGAGCTCGTTATTTAGTCGATGTAAGTAATTTTATCTATTTTAAATGATGCATTGTTATTGCATGCTAACTTAAATTTTATCATCACCTTTTTAATTCACTATAGGACTTTAATGGAGCAAGATTGGATGTTCTTATTGCTCTACACTTAGAGCCTAACAGCCAAAATGTTATCACAATTATGTCTCGGCTATTTCCTGGACAAAGTGTTAATGAGATATTGCAATCGCTTGAAGGTAGGAAAGCGTTAGAACAACTCAAATTAAATATCATGAAAGCAGCTACGCCAAGGCAAAGATTGGAATTGCCAGAGATTGTCCCTAATAAGATTAACAAGGAAGAAAAGGAAGATGATAAGTTAAAGACTAGAGATACTATTGGTAAGTCATTGAAAGCACTAGAACTAAGTGATAATGCATTATATTATTTTCTTGGAAGTTATTGAGTAAAAATAGTTATAAGTTTTTCTTTATCGATATTTTTATGTTATGATATTTCCAAATATTTAGACCAAATTCAAAAGCTTCAAATTGAAGATGAAGTATCTGCCAAAGATGATAATCACCTGGATCTGACTCCCAGAGCTCGAGTTGGTTGTTTCCCTAATTTACAATATTGCCTGGAAGAGAAGCACTTTCATGCCGATATCATAAAATCAAAAAAGAAGGTGAGTTTTATCTGTAATTACTGTAAGTTGAAATGCTAAGAATAAGAAATTATTAATGTACAATAGAAAGCGTACCTTAAAAATAAAAATACTATTGGACAAAATCTGATTGACGGTGGTGAAATCATTTTTGACCAATTACGATTAATCTTTCTGAATATAGATTGATAATAAAGTGGAAAAGCTCTTAACCAGCCGTCCTAGCTTGCGTTCAATCGAACCTAAAATAAAACCAGTTCATCATGAGATTGATGTGCCGAATACTGGTCCTATTATGCCTCGAATTTGGGAATATGGTACGGCCAACGCAGTCGAAGCTAAAAATCAGCCTAAATCTTACATGAGCAAAAGTATCGAACATTATTCCTAAACTGTATTAATATTCCTTTGCAAATTATTTTTACACTAATCTCGAAATTAGAAGTTGACTCACGCGTATAGTCGTTGTAGTAAACAATTTGAAAGCTACTGTATACAATTGGAAAGACATTTATGTTTGAAATAAGCGCAAGCTCTATTACGATTTGCTATACTATGATTTAAGAGAAAACCAATTTGATGCTCGTTTATGTAAATAACAGAGTAACTACCTAATTGCTATTTTAATGATTTACACTTTTGCTATTTTATATTCCGTCTAAATCCTATTTTTGTCACTTATATCTGTCAATTGTACATATCACGCTCAGCATCAGAAATTCAATTTAAAAATTTTGGGAAATATTTTATTTTATATATATTACCATTTGCAGCCTCTGCTCACTTTCTATGTTTCTATATATTGAATTGACTTATATTTATATTTACAGTTACTGATAACTCTTAATTACGTGAGCATATTGCATCGCCACAACCATGGACTATTACTGTAGATGGTATATTTTGCAGTCCATGCCACATCATAGAATAAAATTAATCCTGAAACGAAAGGGATACGAAAGGAAAAGGACATTTGTATTACTATTTATTTTTATTAGTATCAAACCAAAGACGATTGGAAAATTGGCTGCCTTAATAGTGGTAGTAAAGTATGCTCTTACAGTATCATCTTGTAATAGCCTCACTGCTACTACATTACTTGGCATAAGAGATAGTACCTTACTTCACCATTTTATCACCAGCCACGGCCCACTAGCCTACTATATTTTATGCAAACCAGGACACCTCGATGATGTCGTTGGCAGCCATTCAAATTGTTAACGTCAGCAATGTATTGCAGGTAGTGGTTGATCCCCTATTTTAAAGATAATATACATATATATGTATAAATTATAATTATCATTAGCCATGGCGATGAATTTATTCCCAAATCCCTAAGTCTATTTAGCATGAGCACAGGCATAAAGAATAGACTATTACTAGTAGTAATCTATTCGCGATCTACAGAGCTCCAAATCAATTCCTAAATCTTTTAGGTAGAATAAAATAGAAATTGAATAATATTTAAAGAACCTTATGCTATGGGTATGGTTATGATACGA